GCACAGCCCTCTCCGGCCATGGAGATGTTCCTAGGCTTGCAACCGCACGGCCTGTTTCTCTCCCAAACCTGCGCTCGGAGCCTGCAAACTTGGCTCTGATGTTCTGCTCTAACCACCCCTCCTGGAGGGCCAGACACTGGTGGGGCGGACGCCCCCTCTGCCCAGGCCGGTGGGAGTCAGGGCGCTGAGCCTGACCCCTCCGATTCAGCCTGCTGCACCAGCCCGGAGGGCCCCCGGTGGGAAGGAGGTCCCAAGCCTCCAGCGCTGGGCAAGAAGGGCCACGCTGTGTTCCCGGGCTCCCGCCAGGGATCCCCCGGCTTCTGCCACCAGCAGCTCTCTCTCCCCTCCGCTTTCCGGGCCACCAGCCCAGCCTCACCCCCAAAGTAGGAGCCATCGGACAGCTTTGTCTCCTTGTTGCCCTTGGTAAGGATGCTGACCACCCCGTGCTGGATGAAGTACATCTTTTTGCCCACAGTGCCCTCGCGGATGATGAAGTCCCCGGGTTGGAAGACCTCAAAGCGCAGCTTGGTCAGCATGGCTGTCACAAAGTTGGGGTCTGCGTTGGCGAACAGGGGCATGTTGGCCACCAGGTTGCGGCAGTTGAAGTTGATGATCTCCTGCGGGGCGAGGAGCAGGTGAGCAGAGACATCGCCTAGCCCGCCCTCCGCAAGCGCAGGCCCCCAGGGCAGGGCCCCTGCCTGTACCTCCTTGAGTGGCTCGCTGAGCTCCCCCAGGATGTTCTCCTCGTCAAACATCTTGCCCTGGTAGCGGTGCTCGTAGTACTCGTGGATCCGCTGGCGCGTGTCCCCAGGCAGCTTGTGGAATACCCAGATCCCACAGCATAGATGGGGCAGGAGCCCGTGGGGCAGCACAGCCTGCTCGGAGCTGGGCCCAGCACCCCAGGACATCTCCTCCCAGCACTCGGGCGCTCTCCACACCACCCGCTGACCTTCTCCTGATACTGGCGCCGCGATGAGTCCAGCGACTGGATGAGGGCGGTGGCGTGGCCGATGAACATGGCGTAGCAGGTGGCCCCCCCGATCATGCTCAGCATCGTGAGCCAGACGTAGGTAATTCCCTCGGGAG